TTAATTTTCTATAAATAGGGCTTTTGTTGAACTTGTTTGACAACTTTGAAGGCTAGAGAAACTACCAAAATGTAGTCTTCATTTGTTTTTCCTAGTTCATTAGTATAGTATAGTTAGTATAGTTTATCCATTTTGTACTTGTAGTTAGATTTGGATGAAAAATTAAGGAGTAAGATGGAGAGTTTCGAAGTCATGTGACAAGAGTGACTTCTCTCCTGTCACTTTCTCTTCTGTATTTGAATTCATGTTTAGCTATAATACAAGTATGGTCTTTTCTTTCATTCTCTTCATGTTTAGGTAAAGTTTATGCCTAGAGTTATGGATGAACTTTCTATATTTTGTTTGTGATATTTACTTGGTTATTTGATGATATTATTTTGAACAACTTATTTAGCACTTTTGCTTTTCTAATTATGATTAACTGGCCATTAATTATGATAATTTTAAGGTGTTAAGTTTGCAATGAGTATTGAGATTTGACACTAGTTCAAGGAAATGCTAAACGTAGGAATTCACTCATGAGAGTAGAGATGTACCTTTGTGGCTTTAGTGGCTTGTTCCATGTAATTTTATAGAAAAATTGAGTTTGTAGTTAATTTCATAACCACGAGAGTATGGATGGCTTAACTACAAATATAGATGATTCACTATGAGAGTATGTTTCGTATACATTAGAAAATTACGTCATAACTAACCAAGATAATAACATTCAATTAACCAGTAATTTCATTTGCAAAAGTAGTGAAGAATTCCATATTCCCAAGAGTTTTCTATTGTTATTTTTATTACTTTTATTTCATGTTCGTAGTATAGATTTCTTGCATTTGTGATAGTCTTAATAATAAAGGAATTCAAAAACCATACATAATTGGTAATATTCTTTATGGAATTGATACCTAATATCTCTGTCTCGATAAACGATCTGTATGCTTGCAGAAAATGGGATATTTAACTTTTATTAAAATTTGGTACATGTTAGAACCTCATCAATGAGGGTAATTTTGTGACGGCTCCACCTCCCCCTAGGGCGTAGCCCAGGGTTCGGCGGGTCGTCTGCCCAGTTCTCGCCGGGACTCAGTCATTCACTACAGTCCTCAATTAAAATCGGAATAAATCACAAGAATACATAGGGCAGCGATCCAAACTTAAAGCGGAACTTATATATATTGCCATCCCAAAAGGGAGTATAAAGATCGAATATACAAAGGTTCTCAATCCTTCATACGTCCAGCCCGTGCCAAGCACTAGGGCGAGAACCATTACAAAGAAAAACAAAAGAACTAGACGAGGCTAGTCTAAGCTCTCATCCTGCTCGCCGTCCCCTGTTAAGGAAAACAAAACTAAAGGGGTGAGCTAAAAGCTCAGTGAGGTTCCGAACAGATAATCAAACAATCAATTCAATACATTAAACATGGAGTATCAATAATTCAAGAAACATTTACAATGGAAAGCGATAGTAACATTCATTAAAAGGATACGGGCTCACATGGAGCTATTCGTTCGTTCGTTCGTTCCCCTGACATTTCCCCTTATTCCTCCAATTATTTGAAAATTTTCTTTTTGAGAAGTAAACCCTCGTGCCTTCGTTCGTTCATTCATCCCCTTCCGGACGTTGACCGGACTCCACCCATCCGGACGTTGGCCGGACTCCACCCATCCGGACGTAACCGGACTACAAGGTAATACTCGAGTATACCAAATTCACCCAGGGTCACCATATCGCCCGACCGAGTCCGCTTCTGGCTCGAGTCGATCGGTAACGAAGGGCAGGGCCCAATTCAGCCAAACAGCTTACATTCATGCGCAACTAGCATTTAATCATTATTCATTGAAAATTTCACATTTATTTAGGTCGAGTGCGATAAAGTACACACTCGCCTAGAAAACTCGTTTTAACAATCATTGAAAGCACTTAACACATTATCAATCAATAATAACAAGCCAATAAGTCAAGGAATATAGCAAACAAGGAACACTCACCTAGTTATGCAATATAACGTGCAAAATATCCTTCCGAATATTACCCTTAGTCACCAATGAAACCTAAGATTGAACAAGAGAACATATTACAGTTTATCGAGCAAAACATTTAAGGGGAAACGAAAAAACCCGACTAATTAGGAGTAAAACGTGTAAAGATAACTTTCAAGTAAAAAGAGGGTTGTTTGGACCCAAGGATGAAAATAACTAGGGTTTCAAAATCAATCGCAAAACCAAGCTCAAAAGGCTTATAGAATTCCAACGGAAAACATTTGACTAACGACAAATCAAAAGACAAATAGATAGGCTAAGAAAATATTCTTTCAGAATCGTAAAGAATCGTTTGTATGACTAAAATTCACTATATATTCAAGTAGAGGTTATATAACAAGGGTTTTGATGAAAATCATATGGAAAAGGAAGACTCTTAAAACCGTACTTGAAAGTAGTTCACTTGTGGTTGATAAAACCCTAACTCATACTTCTATATTTTGGGTACGGAGTAAGTAAACATTTGGCGTTTCAAATTGAAGAGGTATCATGTTATGGAATGGTAAAACGGTCATAGTATTTTCCAAACGAAAATATACAAATTCAAATAGAAACTTAGTCCTTGAGCGAAAATTTGGGCAGCACGCCCTTTGTGTTTACCTAATTTTCCAGCCATTTTGGCTTCATTATTTTTCTCATTCAAGCCCAAGTTTATACACAACACAAATGCATTTCAATAGCCGTTCCATAGGCTCAAGACAATACAAGGACATAAATCAACTAATAACAAATGCGGAAATGAAGTTTACAAAAAAAAAAACAGATTTGATAGGGTTTTGCGGAATGGGCACATCCAAGGCTACGCTTATTGGATTGAGGTGCAACTTATACCATTTCGAAGCTAAGAGAAAGGGCTACAATATTGAAGAAGGTCACTCAGTCCAGTTTGTAGTGAAACTAGGTCAAAAGATCAGTATACCAAACCAGCACCGTCAAAACAGGTTTACAACCCGCATTCTGGCTCAAATATCATAAGTCAGGCTCCCTAAGTCCAAATCAAGTGATTCCAAAGCCATCTGAAAGCTAAGATACAAGGCTACAATTCTTAAGAAGACATAAACAACCAAATCAGAAGAATTCCCAATCAAATTATCCAATTACAGAGGCAATTATCAAGTTCGGGTAGAAACAGGGCAGCAGGGGTAAATCGGTCTTTTCACAGGATACGTTACTTCGATTCAGCTGAAATTTTGTAGGCACCTATAAAATATCATTCTATAAAACTTTCATGTTTTATGCCAAGCCTAATTCGGCCTCTAACTATGAGTAACAGTACCGGGCAGAACTGAAACATGAAATTCCAGAAATCTGGAAATTTTGGTTTTCAATTGAATTTTCTTCCTTTCCTTGTTCCAATCACTATCAAAGCCCCTTATATAATCTTATATACAACATATACTAACCATACAACAAGTTTAGGCAGAAAATCGTCAAACCCTAACTTGCATATATCATCCAAAATCATCACAACAACTTGTATAACTTGTAGTCTAATCAAAACATGAGCTAGATAACATCTTAAACCAAAAATTAAAAGAACAAGAACCATGATCAGATCTTATACCTTAAAACAAAGCTTGAAAGAGTGATACTTCACCTCCTTTGGAAATTTTTTAGTTCCCTTAGCTTCCCAAGCCCACAACTCACTCTTTAATCGGTTTAGAATTTTGATTCCCCACTTAGATGGTGCAAATCAAGAAGAAAATTGTTTTCTCTTGCTCCCCCTTTCTCTCTCTCTTGTCTCGGCCAAGCTCAAGGAAAAATGAAGAAGAAAGGCTGCTCTATGGTGATTAAAAGGCAAGAAGATTAGGATTAGTCTAAGCCACAAGTTTTGCCAATACTTGGATCAACCACAACCACAAAATTTTCTCTTTCTTCTCCTTGCATTTTTGGCCACAAATTTCGGTCAAAGGCAGCTGGAAATGAGGGGATATTTTGCTCAAATATCAATGAGCTCATGTGGTAAGAAAGTGGTGGTCCAGCGGTGCGTTCAATCGATAGTGCGCGGTACACGTCGGTTCACACCTTTTTTCCTTAAATCGCACGTATTAGGGTTTTTACTTCCTATTCACTAACCTTATATCATTGCTCCTAATCACATATTATTTCTCACCTAAAAGTCACTTTTAATCACCAAATTTGATCCTTACTTCGTACTGAAAAATCATCCGGCGAAAAATCGCGAAACCCTAATTTGCTCCAGTCTTGAAACCGAAAAGTGAAACCCTACTTTCTAGGTTCATTTGCACTTATTATGGAATTACTGGGTAGTAAGCTATAATAAATGAATAATTTCCAAATAAAAAGGCATTTTTGAGAAAAATATAAGAAATTTGTGAGTCCTCACAAATTTAGTTATTCAACAATAAATTTATTTGTGATTTTAATCCATAAATAATAACCCATACCTCATTTGCAAATTTAGGACTGCTACACCCTCTTATGAATTTTGCATCTTCTTATTCTCATTTTCCACTTTTTCCTTATTTACTTCTTTTATTTTTAAACATTTAGTCACACGAATCTGGAGTGCTCTCGAGTGTTCTACAGTACTGATCCTATTGACTCGGGAAAACGTATGGTTTGTGGGATTGCGAAATTGACCCGGGAAAACGTATGGTTTGTGGAATTGGGAAATTGACTTGTCAATTGTGAAATTGACCAGGGAAAACGTATGGTTTGTGGAATTGTGAAAAAGTGAAAGCCTCCCGGATCAACCATCTACTTTCAGAGTGGTTGGCTACCAAAAGAATTTTAAAATTCTATTTAAATACAGGTCAAGGAATCATTTTAATATTCAGACTTTTCTAATATAGATCAAGAGATCAACATCCAAGTAGAGATTTAAAACTCTACTAGTTATTCTAGAAGTAGTTGGTTGACCGGAGGCTTTCATTTTTTCACAATTCCACAAACCGTACGTTTTCTCGGGCTCCACTGTTGGACCGATGGACATTGGTCGGTGAATTCGGAGGAAGGCAGAACTCAACTTGAATACTCACTCCATTTAAGATGCTGCGTACATCAGTCAGAGGAACATCCATCTTCTTCACAAATTATTTGTATAAGGCACACGAATAAGGTACCTCGAAAGGCAATGGCTACTTTCTATGGATTTCTAGTTGGCCTTGCGATAGTATTCTTGGCTTATTCTCCCTCTTCCTCTGCAGTGCACTTTGTGTTGATTCATGGTAGTGGTCATGGAGCATGGTGTTGGTACAAGTTGGCGACTTTGCTGGAGCAAGCAGGCCACAAAGTCGCGGCAGTGGATTTAGCTTATTCTGGGAGAAATCAAGTGCCACTGGAATTTGTGCATACCTTTGATGAATACCACAAACCTCTATTCAAATACTTGGAATCTTTATCTCCTAAGGAGAAGGTAGTTCTCGTTGGCCACAGCTATGGTGGTTATGGTGTTTCCTCTGGCCTGGAAAGGTTTCCAGAAAAGGTTCTTGGTGGTGTTTTTGCTTCGGCCTTCATGGTCGGGCCTAACTTTACACTTGAGGACACTAACAAGGTACTAGGGTGCTTACAAGTCCTTGAACTTAGTATGATATTTCATTGATTCCACAGCAGATAGCATATTCTCCTTTTGTCTTAATCCAGTTTCACACACACACACACATCAAGATTCACAGCAGAAGCATATTGTCCTTTTATCTTAGTTCAGTTTGATATGAAGAATACAGTGGAGAAATGTTTATATTGGTCATCGTTAAACCTAATTTATTATATATGTATATTTATTTATTTAAATCTAATATATGCATACACACATAAACATATATAAAAATATACACACACATACAAATACATCAAGATTCCACAGCAGATAGCTTATTGTCCTTTTTTCTTAGTTCAATTTCATATGAAGACAACGACAGAGAAAATATTTATTCAATTGTTTATATTGGTCATCATTAAATCTAATTCATTTTAGGCTTCATTTAGATTGATAAATTTGATGAAAGATTTAAAATTCACCTAAATTAATCTCTCTAATTATTTGGATTGTTTAAGAAGTATTTTTTTGTAATTCATTAATCATATAAATAAATTCTAAACATAAAATATTTGATAATTTACAAAATTCAAATACCACCTAAGAAATCTAAACAAGAGACATTTGAGAAAAATTCAAACTCTTCGTCAAATCCCTCCATCCAAATGTACTTTAAAGAAGTCTTAACTCTGAATTTTCTTTCATCAAACTCTGATTTTTTTATTTATTTATTTTTTTTGCATTAGCTTCATACGATCTCCCTGAATCTGCTTTGATTTTTGAGTACTGTTGTTTTGTGCTTCGCTGTAGTTCCTTCTACGGCCAGATCAAGCAGATGACAGTTTTGTTATTGGAGATCCTGTAAGAATTGTGCTCTTTGGGCCCCACTTTGCAGCAACACTGCTTTACCAGAATTCTCCTCTAGAGGTAACAAAGTCAATATTCGACTATACATGACGGAACTAATGTGGCAACACTGCTCTTTTTTTAGTCTATTATGTAAATTTTGCAATTGCAAAACATAAAGTTCAAATGAATAAGTTATTAAAAACAACCATTTAGCTTTGAGAAAATAATGAGATATAATTTTTCTAACTTTTATTCCTCGTTGGTTTATTAGACAAATAAGGTAGTTATCATGCTAGGGAAAATGTGTGGATTGAAGCTATTGGTTATTGTTAAAAAAAAAAAAAAAGAGAGAGAGAGAGAAAGAAAAGAAGAAACTATTCGTTATTAGTTACAGCTTGTGTTAAAGCAAAAAGAAACGAAAATAGGATCATAATCTAAAGAAGTCGTATCATGGCTTAAATTTTTTGATAGTCAAAAGCTCCTTCAAGCATTTTTCCTTTGACTTCTTATGAAATTTGAAGAAATTTGCATGCATGTGCATTTGAAAAATGCTTTCTGCTTGGAAGCTAACAAAATCCTTTCCACTTAGCAAATAGTTCATTAAGAACAAGAAGAAGCACAACGTACATGTATTTTAATGTTGCAATATAACAAGTAACATTTCATGAATTTTAAGAATCTGCAATAAATACGTACAGTTTGGTCCACGGGGATTTGGCACTAAATAAATAATCCTATGTGGTCATTTTTATATTTTCTTCCACTGCAATGTAATGCCTAATAATTTCAACAGGATCTGAAACTTGCAAGTTATTCTATAAGATTAACTCAGTTCTTCCGTGGAGATTTGGCAAATAGACAAATTCGGGTTACAAAAGAGAGGTATGGATCAGTTCCTCGAGCCTATGTTGTTGGCTTGGAGGATAAGGCAATTACTCCTGATGCGCAACGAGCTATGATAAAGAGCACTCCTCCACAAGTGGTGAGGGAAATCGAGGGGGCAGACCATATGGTCCAGTTTTCTAAACCTCAAGAATTTGCCAACAATTTAATTGAAATAGCTAAGTCGTTTGAGTTGTTTGGTCAGGGGGGCAGACCATAGGGTTATGCTTTCTAAATCTCAAGAATTTGCCAACAGCTTGCTTGAAATAGCTGAGTTGTTTGGTGTCCTTATGTACTTGGTCATTTTTTGCATGATTGTTTAGTGTGTATCACACATTCTGTTGATGTGAAATAAGTATGTAAACGTTGTATGATAATTGTCTTGCTCAATTCTGTTGGAGGTTATGTATATGTCCTCTATTAATTTTAAGTTTATTAATAAAATATAGAACTGGCATCCTTCCTCCTCTATGGAGTTTGTCAAACAAAAAACACTTGCTTAATTACATTCGAGATTATTAACTTAATTATGTTGTATGTCAAAATAAATATGTCAATCCAACTATGCTTTTGCAATTAAGTACTTAATTACTTTTTAATATTTTTTTTATAGAATATTTACTAGGCTATCGTTCTACTCCGCTCGGGCATACTTTTTATTTCATATCACTATTTCAACTCCTAATAATGTGAGCCTTTGGTCCTGTGAAGGTTGGATATTAACTCATGTATCAAGCTTCAACGTGGTTTAGTCAATGAAATACAATAGGTTCTGTATAGATTAAGTACGTTTAGGGATGTTTTTAAAAAATTTTACTAAAATTTTGTGTATTAAAAATTTTTACTCTAGATGTATTTTACTAGAACTTTGTATACTAAATATTTTACGAGAATTTAGTTTATGGACATGGTTTGGTTTGGTGTTTGAAATCTTTCTTACAAGCAACTCTATTCGGGCTTGTCTTGCTGCCTGGTTGTTAGGAACAACTTCCAAGTCCTTACGTTGCTTTCCTCCATGTGACACCTTTGTTTATTTCTTGAAATATTTGGAGATTTCGCAATTTGGTGGTTTTTTGAAGGTGTAATGACATCCCTGTCCACTACAACAAAAATGGCCTTTAAGAGCACTTAAAAGTATCGGTATAGATAATTTAAGTTGACACTTTACCTTTTCTCATACCTCAGATGAGTATCGTCCCTTTCAATGTGTGGATAGGCTCGTAGCATTCAAATGTGTCAGAAAAACTATGTTGTTACAGCATCCCATCTGCCAATAAAAATCCCTTTTCTTGACAATCGAAAGTGTCAGGATAGTTGTAATACCACATTAGGATATCGAATTTTATGAAGGCATCTTGAGTTGTCTTAATATATGGCTTTTAAGGACACTTAGTCATGTCATAAACCATTGTTTTGGACGACATCCTCATGTGTCATTAGATATTACTTTAGAAGCTGAGCTATGCTGACACTTTTAACTGCTAGGAGTTTTTTTTTCTTTTTTCTTTTTTAAATAAAGAAGCAACCTGGTAGTGCTCCCTACTATACATTCCGTCAATTAGATACCCAAAGACTTGTAAAATTATCCCAAAGAATAGAATGCATGTAGTAATTTAAAAGTAAAAGTCAATGTTCAAATATCATTTGTTGAACTAAAAGTCAGTAATAAGTACTAACATAGCTAATCGAAAAAAGTTGTTTAAAATAGTGTAACAATGTTAAACAACGCCACTAACTAAAATTAAAATAAAAGCTTCTCCTAATGTAAAAAGTTGAAAGAACTTGCAGTAGCTTCCAAACTTTTCAACCAAATGAGAGCCTTTAGTCATAACCACGAAGACACCATCAATCTTCAGTTGGTACCACCTATCCACAAAGTAATTTGGTATAAGAAATAGACCTAACCATAAATATTTTAGTTTGAGCAACAAGCAGAAATGAAGCTTCAAAAATAGGAATTTCCCTTTGTTAACTATTCACAAAGTATAATATGTAGTATCATTCATTAGTAATCAGCCCAAAATAGTCATACATATCACCATAATTTACTTACAAAAAATTCTGATTTACCTTGATCACACATACTAGCTGATTATTTGTGAAGTTAGAAAGAGACCTACTTGGACATTCCATACAAGGTAGGGATCATCAGGTCATCGTAACTAGCAATAAAATTTCAGAAAAGCCAATGAGTAAATAAGTACATATATTGCCAAACGATAAGGCCAAGCAATTGGTGCGCCAAGTACATCTTGAATTGTTTGTTACAAATCATATGATCTAATCAATTGCTCACTTGGACTCATTGCAACTTGTATCTGTATCTCACACTAGTTTGGTCTAAGAGCTTGTCCCCCAACCTCATCCAATAGATTCAAACTACGTAAATATTCCTTTGCCATGATTTTTGTTGGGTCAAACAAACTTTTCAGTGAAACCATATTCCCTACCTAGTAAAAGATCCAACAAATACAAGAATCGAAGTCATGCTCACACTTCATTTCATTTGCAACCATTGTACAAATCCTGTTGAGAATCATCAATCAATTTGCAAAATTTTTCAGCCTCTAAAATAGGATGTCTCATTCTCTATTCAACTCATTTGTTCCATGTGATATCCCAAATACATCATGGACTAAGTCTTGCATGTCATCAGTCCCATTTGAAACCCCGACTGATGTATTTTCAGAATTAGATGTGGCTTCATTATAATTTGAAAGTTCTCCATGTGCTATTCAATTATTATAACCCTTGATAAATTCCACCACTTTCAAACGGTCATATGCTTCCATTTTAGTCACACAAGCACCCATGCCGCAATTTTTGCAATGACACAAAATCATTTCATCACAATTTGATCTAGAAAATGCAAAGTTTAGAAACATTTTAAGTCCCACCTCGTACTTTTCACTTGTTCTTGGGAAATCTATCCAACTTTTATCCATACTTTTAATATAAATAAATGTCCTCCAACAAGCTTCCAACAGCACAAAAACGACAACTACAAATTGATACTTAGAAAACTGGACAAATGTCATTCTAAGCATTTTCCCATCAAATCATTGAGAATAAGAAGCAATGAAGATTTGGAATACAATAACAACTTGTACAAGGTGTTAGGATTAAAAACTACAAAATTAAGTTGCAAGATTCCAATATTAAGTTGGTAAAAAGACAAAGCAAAATAGGAAAATAGAAATAATGATGCGACCACATGACATTAAAATTGCAATAGGCATTATAGTAAGACTGACATTTAGCTTTGAAAACATATGCACCAGTTACAATAATTGGTGAAAACTTGAAATTGCACTTTGTTCATCACAATGTACTTTCTTAACCATATAGTCGAGAAAAGCTGAATGTAACTTTAATCAAGTTCAAAACTTTACAGTCTACTAAATCAAGCAACCGGGCAAATAAAGGAAATCAACAAAATGCAAAATTTCTCAACAATCTGTAAAAACAGAAATTGCAAGCAAGTGGAGAGAAATTTTATTTACCTAATAATTGAAGAAAGCCCTTCGTACCAACTACTGTGCTTACGTCTTCACAAAATTCCTAATTTCAATCTGAAATTTCAAAGGTTAAACCACACAAGAGCGTGAGTCAGCATGATATTCATAAAAACCTTGCTACTTAAAGAGAACTTCAATTACAACTAAATTTCACATACTAACATTAAAAGAAATTCAGAAAAAAAAGGAAATACAGGGGACTTGACATTTTATTGACTAGGTTATGGACAACAAATCCATAACAAAATAGTCATATGTATCAAGTAGACAACCGAGAGAAATAAAGCTGAACAACAAGTGCACTCAAATCATAAACTATTACTACATACATTTCAATTTCAAACAGATGGGACTAATCTCAAATGTAATCAATTTAGGGGCAAACTTTGAAACTTAACCCTCCGAATTCAACACAATATAGTACACAACTTCAAGAATAGCTAATAATGTCCAATATAATCTCAGAAAAAAAAAGAACAACTTGAAGAACCGACAGCTTCTTTACGGTGAGATTCAGCAAAAACATTATCTAATTACTCACAAAATTTAAAAAAATTACCGTGCAATTACATACCTTCAATGGGAAAACAAGGATAGTTTTTTTTGTAGAGATATTCAGTAGTAAAAACTCCAAGTGTTTTGGCCGAGAGATAATTTGCTGAGGGAGTTTGTTTGTGGAGAGGTTGTTTCTTATGAGAGAGATGAGAAGAAGCAAAATTTCACCAAGTCTTTGGCCAGCAAAATGAAAGTTTTGAGTATTTTCCTAAATGTTTTGGAAAATGAATCTTCCACCAAATTCAAACGATGTCATTTTTTGCCTTTCTTTTTTTTTTTTTTTGGTATATCTCACATTTCCTCAAGTGTCATAATAGGTAGTCTAAAGGCACATTATTTTTTTTATATCAGATAAAATAAAAAAATTAGAGTATATATTATTGAGTTGATAACAAGTGTCATGATAAAAGTTCTATAATGACTGAAGCTAAGAGACATATCTACACTTGGTTTGAAAACATCAAAGTCCAGTTCAGTTATTTTCCTTGTCAAAAAGTCAAAATACAAAAGCGCAAACTCTATTGTCGAAAGCTAAAACAGAGCTCTGACCAGTCTTTGGTATTTTGGTCATATCTCAGTCCACAGAGCTCCAAATTGGATGATTCTTGAGGAATTGAAAAGCTAAGTCAAAAGAATACAACTTTTGTGTTTTTCACAAGAGCTAGTTCGGTCTCAATCTTTGCCAAAATAGCTGTTGAAGTGGCGCAAAAGTGAAAACGTGACTTACAATACGCGAGTAGAAGTTGCGTATTCCTGTAGTCGCGTATTCTCTTCTATGTTCTACAACTTGCTCATCAATTTGCTCTGTTTTCACACAACTTTTCCAACTCAATTCTACCTAGCAATTCCGGCTGTATTTGATCAAGAAAAGGCTGGAAAGTTGGAGAAGCAACCCATTTGGCTCTTGAATCTTCTATAAATAGCAGCCTTTGGAGACAATTTTCATAACTTTGGGAGGCTAGAAAAACTCATCAAATATGTAGTCTTCACTAGAGTTTCCTTGATTCATTAGTTAAAGTAATATAGTATAGGTAGTATAGTTTATCCATCTTGTATTAGTAGTTAGATTTGGATGAAGATTGAGGAGCAAAGATGGAGAGTTTGAAGCTCATGCGACAAGGGTGACTTCTCTTCTATCACTTTCTCTTTTGTATTTAAGTTCATGTTTAGTTATAATACAAGTTTGGATTTGTTTTTCTTCATGTTTTGTTAAAGTTTATGCCTAGAGTATGGATGAACTTGCTATATCTTGTTAGTGATGTTTACTTGGTTATTTGATGATGTTATTTTGGGCAAGTTATTTATCATTTTTGCTTTTCTAATCATGATTAACCGGCCATTAATTGGGATATTGTTAAGGTGTTAAGTTTGCAATGAGAATTGGAATTTCATGCTAGTTCAAGGAAGTGATAAACTTAG